CAGACGCCGAGGGCATGCCAGAGGCTGTGGCGCAGGCTGTCGACAAGCTGGTGGGTGACTTGCACCCGCTTACCATTTGTCAACAACCGCGTGACGTCTGGCCTTGGTAGCGACACGACATTGTTTGCGTGTCACGACTCGGTGTTTGTCAACCGCTACACGTTTGCAAAAGTCCCCTTGTTGTCGTTGTTGTTTGTGAGCGACTACATGAGGCCCAGTTGACTTTGTGTACGCCGATGTCTTGTTTGTGAACAGCAAGTCGATAACCTGGTTCGTTTTGTTTTTACGTTTGGTCTTGTCGCTGCTGCTGTTCTCTTCGCGCTGGGCCAGTGCCGCACGTTGAACGTGAGCACCCCCTCACAGTCAGTCCTCTGCCGGGATGCATCCTCCCTGCCGTGGATCCTCTCGCAGACGGAGAGCGCCCTGCAGTGGAGACAGCAGGAACTGCAGGTTTGTCTCACGCACCGGCACAGGGGACACCTGTCTGCGTGTAGCTGCTCAAAATGCTGATTGAGCTGACCTTCACCACCCCCCAACAAGATAAAATGAGAGCGCAAGAAGCAGAGGGAGAGAAGGCTCCCTTGACAGATCTGTGAACGGTGTCCCATGTTTTTTTCTTCTCTTTTTCTTTCTTAAACAAATCTCATCATTTTTTAAAAATACTTTCATTGTCTTGGTTTGCCTGGACAAGACACTGTCACGCTAACGATGAGCGTGGTTAGCTAGCTGCGCCAAAAAAAACCACACAGACTCATGTTGCTCTTTGATTTCTTTAATCAGCACGTCAGTTGAGCATGACCACTTTGTGGCCGTCACAGAAGTCTGCGAGAGACAAAAGAGAAAAGATGACTGACAGGTACTGCACGATTGGCGGGACTCGCGAGAGAGGCGCCAGTGCGACCGAACCTTTTTTGGGGTCGATCATGAAGTTGGGTTCCCCGGAGAAGCCCAAGCAGTGGGCCTGCTTCTTGAAGTGTTCCAGGTCGGAGTCCTTGACCGTGTTCCCTGGAGCTGCGGAAGGAAAAGTGGCTCTTTTGGGCGTCATAGCTTACGGACCCCACAAGATGGCGGCAGGGCACCTCAAATGCGTCCGCGCCACAGATGTCATCGCGAGCTAACAGCCTTCACATCAGGAGTAACAGTCGTGCTCGCTAGCGTTTAGCCTAAAGAACGGTCCCGAGCAATAGCGTGACATCACATGCTGGCGGACACATATGCGCACAAAGCCAATAAGGTAGGCATGGGCTTGACATTTCCCCCTCACCTAACAGGTAGAGGCAGCGGGCGTTGATCTGGTCGTTGACGGCTTCGCCGAGGTGGATGCCGAAAAGCTCTAGGAAGGTCTTCAGGTCACGAGCCGTGCTGTTGATGCTAAACAACTGGCAGCCGTCGCACGTGGGCAGCCAGTGGAAGACGGACGAGATGTTTTGCACTGAGGACGACAAAACGCCAACGTCAGCGTCCACGGTCGACACAAACGCCAAAGGCGGCGGCGTCAGACGACAAAGACGGCTCACTTTTGGCGGACGCCACATTGCCGTCGATGGAGATGTTCATCTTGGTGCCGAAACAGGTCCCGTTCCTGAAAAGCAGACGGCCGGCGTTGACGCTTACAGAAAGTGGGGTCAGAGAGTTGCAAAAAAAAAAAATAACAACAACAACAACGAAAAAGGGATGGAAGAGTGGTGATAAGAAAGTAGTTGTGTCAAAAGTGGTGAGGGTCGGAGAAGAGCTGGAAACCGGTCATAAAAGGAGCGTGAAGAAGAGAATCTTTTAATGTGTCGCAGGCCGGGGTGTAGGGGACTCACATCATCATCTCCTCATAGAAGAGCAAGTCCTTGTCGTTGTGGGCGGCGGCGTTGATGGTGATCCGGCTGCTGTCGCTGATTTTCAGCATGGCGTCGAAGACCTTGTTGTCCGTGTAGCCCGAGATGAACGTCCGCTGGCCCAACAGCTGCCCACAGCAAAGCGCCACACGCACGCTAAGCCACAAGGTCTCGGCCGAGCCAATGGCGAGGCTCCGCTTGGGTCTGCTTTGGGCTTTGGAGGCCGCGTCAATCATTTACTCCGTCATTGACCCGTTTTCGTCTCATCGAGACGCGCGTCGTCGCGCTTGCAGTCAACGCCTCCGGATCGCTGTTCACATTTCAAAGGCCAAAATGTTCAATAGGCCCCCAGGAGTCTGAACGCGGCATTCTCGGGAATATTGCCCATGGGCAATGTCAACGGAGCAGGAAAAAAACGCAGCGCTTTTGATGCATCTGCTGGGGCGGCCATTTTGCCACTCGCCGTCCACCGACCACGACGAGACGGTGCCGCGCCGGTCTAAGCTCGCCGATACCCCCCCCCCCCCCCTTGTGGA